AACCCCCACCCTCCTCCCCAGGCATTTGGCGTGGTACCACCGTGGCCGTCAAAACCATCATTCTGCCGGCGATGATGAGCGGCGCTGAAAAGCGCGAGCAGATGGCCATCATGGAGGCCGCCATAAGCAGCGCCATGAACCACCCCAACATCGTGCAGGTTTGACCGGGGGTTGACCGGGGTTTGACCGGAACGTTGACTGCGTGCTGGCCGGACCTGGTCGCTGTCTGCAGCTCGGAGAGCTAAGTCATCCCTTTGCGCTCATTAACCAAGGATGCGGCCGCCTTTTGCTGTGGCTGCTGCACTATTTTTGCGCGCGGAGCGCTCATATCTACCGTCTCACACACCTGCACTCGTGCCCAACCCGTCAACTCGCGGTCAACCCGTGCCCCAAACCCCCCGCCTCCCCTCCAGATGTACACTTACATGATCAAGCCAACCATCGTGAACAGGCGAGCCTCCGGCAATGAAAACCCGCGGAGGGGTCCCCCTTTCCCCAGGGCACCCCTGAGGAACCGCCGCCCTCGCCGCCGCCGCTGCGTGCCGTGCAACCCCCGCCCCCCTTCTCCCTGGGTCAACTTACACGCACGCACACGCGCACACACACACACACACACACACACACACACGCACACACACACACACACACACACACACACACACACACGCGCGCGCGCGCGCACACACACACACACACACACACAATCACTGGGCCCTTGCTTACTCACTGGCTCAATCACTCACCTGCTGACCACATCCCGCAGCTCGGACTGCGACGGGGAGCCCTCCACCGCCGCGCAGTCCGGCGACCAGCCGGTCCCTGCGCCCCCTGAGGAGGGCCTGTTCCAGTGCGGAGACCGCATCCACAACTTTGAGGTGCGCCGCCATGGCCTGGCGGGGAAAAGACGGACACCGAGGGAAGGTGGAGGACGGGGTTGATCCAACACCCGGCGCGGCCGGCGCCTTGGGATGTCATCAAAATTTTGCGGAGCCCGCCCTGATGCACGGGGATCCAGAGCCCGCCCTGTGCTGACTGTACACTCACTAGCCCAGGACCCCTGACAGCAAGCCCCAAAACGCGTTTGGCCGGCTGACGTTTGACCTGGTGTTGACCGAAGCGTTGGCCTTGCCGCTGGTGGTCCAGGGATTAGAAATATCCTATGCCTCAAAGCCCTAAACCCTGATCCCCTGCCGTTTCATTACAGGTGTCGTTGGTGATGGAGTTCTGTGAGCTTGGGACCCTTAGGGATGCTCTGGATGGGGGCGCGTATAGAGACGGTGCGCACGCGCGCGCGCGCGTGTGTGTGTGTGTGTGTGTGTGCATGCGTGTGTGTGTGTGTGCATATTGTTTTGGGGGTTTGGGGCCAACAATGATCGTGTCTCACACGTGTGACACAGCGTGTGCGTCTGATCGAGCTTCAGGGGTCGAGCCCCGGTGTGTGCACATGTCTCAGCAACTGCGGGGTGCCTGGCGCGTACGGGTGCGCAATTGACTGCTCCTCCGCGCGCTGCGCCTCCTTTGCACCACCCCTCTTTCCACCCACCCCCCCGCCCCCCGCACTGGTGTCGAGTTCCGCACACCCTTTTACTCGTTGCCCGCCCGTCTTACCCCGTTTTCACCGCTTCCTGGACGCGCAGAGTCGGGCTTTGTGAACTACGCTGCCATCCTCGACACGGCCGCCGACGTGGCGCGCGCATTGCTGCACCTGCACAAGCAGCAGGTGGGCAGCGCTCGGAAAAGAACCCGAAACCCTGAGTTCAGCGTTTAGGGTTCCGGGTTGAGGGTTCAGCCGGTGGGGGGTTGCAAGGTTTCATTGTCCATGGGTGGCCCTGGCAGGGGTGGATTGGGATTTGCCTGGAGGCCGGGCCGTTGTTTTGGCCGTCGAAGTCGGTGGAGGTAGGGTGGGTTCGTTCTGCGGGTGCAACCATTAGGGTTTTCGCGGCCCGCGGCTCCATGCTCCTAGACCACGGCCGGCCGGCCGGCCGTGTTCGGCCCAGGTGCTGGGTGATATCGGAAAAATCAGCCACGCCTTGCAACAATCAGCAAGGTGTGTTTGTTTGCGGTGTTGAAGGGGCCCGTGCCAAACAGGGCCGCGACTCGACAGCCCCTTCGTGCAAGGGACCGGCCCCCGCCGGCGTCCGGCTGTGATGTTGGCGTCTCCACTGTCCTCATCTCCCCCGCCGCACCCAGGTGATGCACTCTGACCTCAAGGCACGCAACGTGTTGCTCAAGGCCGACGGCAAGAGCGGACGCGGGGCGGTGGCCAAGGTGCGGGGGAGGGGGGAGACTCACCAATCAAGGGACATGAGTCATGGTCAACCGCCTGGTCAACTTCCACAGCCGAGCGCCGCACATGCCTGCAGCCACCCAACTGCGTGTGTTGCGCTCGCCCCAACATACACCCGCCGTTCTGCAGGTGGCTGATTTTGGTCTGGCTATGCACATCGACCCCTCAGCAACGCACGTGTCACAGTACCAAGGCAAGCGCGCACGCGCACACACATGCGCGTGCCTCCACTCAGCAGCCGCGCCGGTTGCGGCCGCGGCCGCGGCGAGCGCGTGCACGCAGCTGCACGCGCGCGGTGTCGCCGCTGCCACGCCGTGCGGGGCACGCCCCGCCGCAGGAATCCAGGGCGTGGCCGATGCTTTGCTCTGATGGCGCCGTGGGTGGTATCATTGACCGCATCGTTGACCGTTTGACTCACATGCATCAGCTTGTCATCTCGTCACCAGCAGCACCACCGGTCTGTCAGACACCTTTCCTCCAAACACACACACGCACACACACTCCACACACACACACACACACACACACACACACACACACACACACACACACAACACTCCACACACACACACACACTCTCTCTCTCTCTCTCTCTCTCTCCACACACACATATACACACCGCCCCCTACCCACCTGCCCCCCAGGCACGCCGTCCCACATGCCGCCTGAGGCGCTGCTTCAGGGGCGGATTAGTAAGGCGGGTGACGTGTACAGCTTCGGCATCACCCTGTACGAGCTGTACACGGGCGGCCACGCGTACAGCGGTGAGGCGGGACAATTGGCGGGAACTTTGCCGCGCAGGCCACGGTCGGCTAGTGGGTCATGCCAAACCACCGCTGCGGGCGGCCGGCCGCCCGTGGCTCGGATAAGGGGTGGACGCGCCGTGAGGGGTTGTTGCGCGGGTGTTGCCCGCGGTCGTCCGCAACCGTTTCCTGGGCTTCAAAGGGGCGTCGTCGGCTGCGGCGCGCACTTGGCACGCCACGTTGGGGGGGCGCCTTGCGGCTCGCCTGCAGCCGCGGTCGCCCCTGCTGTCGCCCGGCGTCGCCCCTCCCGGGTTGATCCCTTCCTTGCAATGACTCATGGCGGCCACACACCCCAACCCAATTCCGCATCACCCCAGGCATTGGAATCTGCATTTATGCATCCATCCACCCAACCATCCCCTCACCCCACACCCAACCCACC